GGGGCGGGGCGGGGCCGCAGCGGGCGGTGGGAGGGTCGCGTAGAACTGGCCCGGACGCGGCGGCGGCGCGGGGGCCTCAGAGCGTGTGTGGGCGGCTCGCGGGCGCCAGCCTCTTTGGTCCGGCAGTTGACCCGGAGCCTCGTGCCTAGGCCTGGCCCGCGGGATGCTACTCCGGCCACGGCGGCCTGCTCCGCTCGCGCCCTCCGCGCTGCCGTCGCCAGCTAGCCCCGACTCCGACCTTCAGCCGGCCGAAGACGAGCCGGGGACGCCTCTCGCGGATCCGGCGACGCCGAGCGCGCTGGCGGCACCTGAGTCGCCCAAGTCGCCCGTGTCCCCGGGCTCGGCGCAGCGCACGCCCTGGAGCGAACGCGAGACGGAGCTCCTGCTGGGCACACTGCTGCAGCCTACCGTGTGGCGCTCGCTGCTGCTGGATCGCCGCCAGGCCCAGCCCACCTACCGCCGCGTGTCAGCCGCGCTAGCCCGCCAGCAGGTGCGGCGTACGCCCGCGCAGTGCCGCCGCCGCTACAAGTTCCTCAAAGACAAGCTTCGCGACGCGCAAGGCCAGCCGTCCGGGCCCTTCGACGCGCAGATCCGTGAACTCATGGGCCTGCTGGGCGACCACGGACGAAGGCGCGTCCGCCGCCGCCCCGCGGGACCCGGGCGCCCGCAGCGGGGCAGACGCCGGGCTTCTGCAGTGCCTGCGCGCTTCCTCGAGGAGCCAGGTAGGCGGGAAGGGAGAAAGCCCGGGGCCGCGTGGCGTGGGAGGCGGCGCCCGGGTAGCCCCACCGATCGTGCGTTGCGCTCTGCAGGCGGAGCGCCGCAGCCAGCCACCCGAGACCCCGACGCAGACCCCGCCTGCCTGCTCAGATTCAACCCGTCCTCACCGAGATCTGCAGAGCCTTGTTTCGCCCCGGGCTCCTCGATGGCTCACGCCCCGTCAGCCTTCCGAACCTTCGTCGCCGATCCGGCCCAAGCCCCGGGAACCCCACCCCCGCCGGACCCAGATCCCTCCCCAGAGGGCCCCAACACCCCGCCTTCTCGCCCCGATGACAGCACACCCCCGCAACTACCGCCACCTACGCTAAATTCCGCGCTGCTTCAGACCTTAACACACCTCGGTGACATCGTAGCGATCCTGGGCCCACTCCGTGACCAGCTGCAGGCCCTCAACCAGCACGTGGAGCAGCTTCGGGGCTCCTTCGACCAGACCGTGTCCCTCGCTGTGGGATTCATCTTGGGCAATGCGGCCGCCGAACGGGGTGTCCTGCGGGACCTGCACATGTGAGACCCGCCTGTGGCCAGCTACCCTGTCCAGGGCCAAACTTCCTTTGCCTTGGCCACTTTTGCAGCCCCTCACCCTAAATTAGGTATGTTAAATAAAGAGGTTGTTTTTCCGACTTATCCCTGTGAATGAATACAGGGCCAAGAATGGCCTCCTACCGATAGTGGTTTCAAAGGTCAGGGTAAGGTAAAATGCTTTCAGTCCTAGGGAGGGGCTCCAGCGTCCCCGAGGTATCAGCACACCTTGGGGAAGTGCTGGGGTGGTCACCAGGACCTCAAGTGCTCCTGAGGTCATGCAGAACCCTGTCTTGTAAGAGTTCAGGCAGCACGGGATGGTGGTGAGCAAAAACCGCTCTCCTGGCAGGTTTTACACTAAAAAGTGGAGGAAGAGTCGAAGTAAAAAAAGATTCCCTTAGTTCTTCCTGCCTGGGAATAGAAACTCTTTAGGGGGTCCAGGGAGATGGCTCAGTAGAATAAGCGCTTCCCTAGCAAGCACAAGAGTCTGAGTTCAATCCCCAGTTCTGCCAAAAAAAAAAAAAAACCTCTTTGGATGGGACTCCCCCTAAGTTTGGCCTTGGCCTGGACCAATTGAATGCAGTCTGAGGAATTGGACTCTTGACAGGAGGGGCCAGGAGCTTAGCTCTGGAAATTGCCGGTCTCATCTTTCATGGCCAGTTTGAGGTCCGAGCCCTTTGGCTAAGCCTAAGGGCAGGGTCCCTGCCCTTCCCCTGGAATCCTAAAAAGCAGCCTGAGAGGAGAGCACAGTAAAGGGCAATTCCAAGCCCCCCCCCCCCACTGGAGAGCCTGGGTGGGGGAGGGCAGGGTGGAGCCAGAGACGAGAATGTAGCCGGAGGCACCCCACTAGCATGACAATTGCACACTCAAGCAACACAATGGGCTGGTTTTACAAATTCAGGGACCCATCCGGGCCACACAGCTAAACAAGGAGTGTGTGTCGGGCTAGCTTCACTTTGGGGCTGTCCTGAAAGGTTCACCCAATGGGTAGCAGTGTCCTAGCTCCTCTCCCACCTGGTTTTCTGGAGGCGGAGGCTAGGACCCGCCTTCTGCACAGATGTCATCTGAGATGAGGGCCTCTCACCTAGCTAAGCCTCAGGGCAGGACCCCTGCCATTCCTGGAAAATCTAGAAAAACAGCCTGAGAGGGGAGCCTTGTGAAAAACATCGGTGAGTTCTGCTTTCTGCAAGACTAGTCCAGCTTAGCAGCGAGGGCACTTCAGGGCTCTGGCATCCTGTAAGAAGGTGGTTTTCTGGGCAGAAGAGATCAGCCTGGGTCTCTAGGCTGAGCTACTTGGGGCCCAAAGAGAACCTTACTGCTCTGCTGCTGCTTTAATGATTCTAAACAATCCCGACCTAGCCCTCTGACTAGTAATCTGTCAAGAGTACTATCTTGGCTGTGTGTGTTACTCCAAGGACAGAAAAAGTTAAATTAGCCTTTGTGTCTTCATAACCCAGTACTCAAACTCCCTAGCTGGTTTCTGTGGTTTCCTGTTTGCCTGTGGCTCCCAAGGCCCCTTCTTGCCTGTGTTGCAGATTCTCTAGTACAAGGCCACAACTTCCAGCTCCATCATCACAGGACAGCCAAGATCTACTGTGGTGTGCAGTGGGGTGTCCCCACCTCAGTCCACAGCTGCCTTAGGCAAGATCCTAGGACCATTCCTTAAATGGGTACCCCTGTGGCTCCCTGGCAGCCCCTGCAGTGCCCCTACAAGCTTGGTTCTGCTCACCTGCAGCTCGGGGCCAGTGGGTGCTTTCCACTGCATCCTAATTGCATTCTTTGTTGAGGATGAGCCTGGCCATTGCCAGGACTGGGAAGTAGGCTCACTTCATTGGCAAACTTGGGCTGCCTGGGTAGTTGGGGCTTGTACTACGTCAAGCTCTGTGATAATGTTTCCTCCTGCTTACGGCATGAGTGATTGGAATCTGGCTCCCTTCCTGTCCTGGAGACCTTCACTTTGGCCTCAGCTTCTCTCCTAATTCCATGCCCTAGGATGGGTCCGGAGGGTACCATGGTGTTTGGGAGTAGGAGTGAGTTGCACACTCACCTGTCCAGAATGGCCTTGAATTTGCTGTGTAGCACAAGCTTGGGTCAAACTCACCATCCTGCCCCCTCCTGCCAAGTGCTAGGATTGCAGGCGTGTGCCACCAGTTTGGTCTTACCTCAGGTTTATACGTCTCCGTGCTGTGCTGTGCAGGCTTTGTAAAGTCAGTTCTTATTAGCAGTTCAGTATATTGATTATAATACCTGAATATTTAATTATATTTTCCTCCAAGTAACCAAATAACCTTAGCAGATTGGGGCTTTTTACTCTTGGAGAAGCTACACTCAGACCCTCCACCCCCACCTCTTGCCACAGCTGAAAATCTATCCCAGGGCCTCAAACATGCTAGACGTCAACCTTGTCCTACCTAAAAATGTCCCATGTGTGGTGACACACACTTATAATCCCAGCTGTCAAGAAGCTGAGGCTCGGGGCCAGGGAGATGGCTCAGTAGAATAAGTGCTTCCCTGGCAAGCACAAGGGCCTGAGTTCAATCCCCGGTTCCGCCAAAAAAAAAAGCTGAGGCAGGATTGCCGCAGGTTCAAGTTCAGTCTGGGCTATGTAGCTTGACCCCATAGCCAGACCCCACCTCTGGCCTCAAAAGATTAAGAAAAAAAAAACTTGGTTGTAAAGCACTTCCTTAGTGTGCAAAGGCCCTCGGTTTGATCCTCAGCATAGCCAAAGAAAAATGACCTTTAAAATTTCATGTTTAGGGGCCGGGGAGATGGCTCAGTAGGATAAGCGCTTGACTGGCAAACACAAGGATATGAGTTCAATCCCCGGTTCCGCAAAAAAATAAAAAATAAAATAAAATTTCATGTTTAGGGCTAGGGAGATGGCCCAGTGGAATAAGCGCTTCTCTGGCAAGCACAAGGGCCTGAGTTCAATCCCTAGTTCCGCAAAAAAAAAAAAAAAAATTTCATATTTGTGGCTGGGAAGAGAGATCCACAGTCTAAGTGCCTGCCTAGCAAACACAAAAACCCAAGTTCGATCCCAGGTACTGCATGCCGTAACAGCTCCAGAACCGGGACTTGATGGCGTATGCCTGTAATCCCAGCTCTGGGGTGGCTGAGACAAGAGGATCTCTGGGGAGCTCATAGCGAGACTCAGTATCAAATTTTATTTATTTATTTATTTATTTATTTATTTATTTATTTATTTATTGCGGAACCGGGGATTAGAACTAGGGCCCTTGCATTTGCCAGGGAAGCACTTACTCCACCGAGCCATCTCCCCGGCCCCTCAGTACCAAATTTTTAAACATTTCATGTCCATAACCGCCCACCTTATTCTCTATCCAAAATTGATCTGTATTTGCTTCCTTAATTACATGCTCCATACAGTGTTCTGCCAATGAATGTTTCATTGCTGGAAATTCACAAATCCCTGCGCAGCCTGAGAGACTAGGGCTCTTGCTGGGTCACTTTCTCAGATCTGCATATTTCCTAATCTAGAGTCCAGTTTCTTTGCCTTTTTGAGACAGGGTTTCATTATGCATTTTAGGATGGACTTAAACTCACTTTATAGCCCAGACTAGCCTCGAACTCACAGCAAACATTCTGCCTCAGCCTCTCAAGTGCTGGGATTATAGGCATGCACCACCACACCCGGCGAGAATACAGATCTGGATCTGAGGTCTCTGCAGAGGACGCATCCCCGAAGTCTGGAAACCTGTGTTCATCCACTCTCAATTCTGATGCTCCCCTGTTCCCTATAGATCTCATTCCAACATTCTAAAGCCAACCTTCTAAAGCTGCTCAGCCTGTTACTGGCCTTCCTGACCATGATGCCCCACGTGAAGCTACTCCGTATCATATGTTTCCCTCCCCTAGGGTCACCCTCAAGCCTTATCCCATCTAGTAAGGTCCTAGCTTTTTTTTTTTTGCAGAACCGGGGATTGAACTCAGGCCTTTGTGCTTGCCAGGCAAGTGTTTATTCTACTGAGCCATCTCCCTGGCCCCCTAGCTTTTTGTTCTTCCCATTTTTAACAAATGACAGCTGCTGCAGTACAAGGCATCCCTTTGCCGGGATCTCACGCCTGAGCTGACTCCATTCCCTTCTTAGGCCTTGAACAGATGGAGCCTGCCTTTCCCCAGTGCTAGCAGCTGGAAATTCTCAGGCTGAGACCTGGGTTCAGCCATTTACCCCTATGTGGGCAGTTACTCCTTCCATGACAGATTGTCTCTTCATGTGATAAATCAAATCCGTTTCCTGCATGATCTGGGCACGGTTCCTTCAGTGACCCAACCTGACCAGCTCTGCGGGGACCTGACTGACCTCCCAGTGTTACCACTGGACAGAGACACCTCATTGAAGACACTGCGTGGGAACAGGGTCCTGGTGAGGTGTCTGATGAGGCCGGAGCGCTGTGTCTCTTGCTAGTCCTACCCTTTGCCTCCCCATGGTTACCTCTCCAGCATAGTTACCTATGAATAGATGTGACAGAGTCACTGCTGCCCTGAGAGTGCTGCGTCCTTCGGCTCCACCTGTAAGTCCATCTTGGGACATGCTCCTTGGACTGCAGTGAGCCTTGCTGTTAGCCACTGCTACCCTCCATCCCATCTCCCAAATCATCCCTGGCCTGTTTACCTAGGTGTTGTCTCGCTCTCAAGCCTCTGTGTTTGCTGTTATTTATTTGTATTTTTTTTTTTAGGGAAGGGTATATAGGGTGTTCAGGGTCTCACTACTACATTGGACTCATTGATTTTCGCCTGTTTACAGCCTCCCAGAGTTGGGATTACAGGTGTGCGCCAGTATAACCACAGAATATTTAGAACTCTTCTTTTTTTTTGGCGGAACCGGGGATTGAACTCAGATCCTTGCGTTTGCCAGTCAAGCACTTATCCTACTGAGCCATCTCCCTGGCCCAAATATTCATGTAATGATGTCTTGTCTTTTTTTTTTTTTGGTGTAACTGGGGATTGAACTCAGCCCCTTGCTCTTGC